CCCTCCAGGGAAGGCAGATGCGCTGTGATTGCTGTGACAGGCAGAGGAGCTCCCCGTGATGGTGACTGGGACCAGTCCCACCCATCCCTGGCAGTGCTCAGGGTGGCAGAGGGATGTTGTTTGTCTCCACCGATCTTTGAACCCTTGGGAGAAGCACAGCTCTTCTCTTCATGCACCAGTCTTTCCTGATCTACTTTCAGTTCCTTCCTGCAAAGCTGCCCTGTGCAGCAGGGATGGAGAACTTCCTCCGCTGCTAAAGCCCGTTGGAAATGGCTAATTTACTACAACACAGGCAGAGAAGGGAAGAAGGATAGTGAAACACAGCCCAGCCTGGGCCTCGGGGCCATCTCAGGTTCAGGAGGAAAGGAAAGGACAAAGAGCTCAGAGACCCCCCAGTCTGGCTTTCTGCAGGACCTCAACATATCAAATTGAAATGGGCCTCTTTTTGCCCCTGGCTGTTCCTATGGTTTAAATGCTTTAACCTTTAAAGGTAGCATTCAGGAACCATGGTACTTAAGTGTTAAAGCTAACTTGGAGGGTATTTTTGCAAAGGGGAAGGAGTTTTACAGGGGCTTTTACCTACCAGACTTGCATTTCATTTCAGCACAGGTCATGTGCAGTGCTGCCTTCATACATAACCTGCCCGTGGTCCCTCATCTCAGCAATTTCCTCAGTCTTGTCCTGAGATCAGCAGATTAAAAGCAAAGAAGATTTGAGGCTTCTTTCCCAGTGGTGTTGAGTGCCTGTTGCTCCTCATAGTCCTGAWAGAGAGGGTGCTCAGCACTGCTGCAGGAAGCAGAAATTCATCTCTATCTCTACTGCTCTTTGCCCTGGTCTCAAAGACTATTTGAGACACTAGACAAGAAATGAAGAAAAAAACCTCCACAATCAAAAACCATCAGAACTCTCCTCAGTTTTGTTGGTCCTAGTATCTGTAACCACAGACCCTGTTCATTCTCAGAGCAGATCCTTCACAGCCTTTCTTCCTCTAAAATATTTTCTTGTTCTGCTATTAATAAAGCCCACATCAGATGTACCACTTTCTTTGCTCATGTAGTTGCTTGTCCAATCCCCTAATTCCTATTTTTGGTCTCCCTGTACTTTTCTCTCATTTCATCTCCACTATTATTTCYATTTCCTTTGTTTGTTCCAATATGTACAGACTTCAGAAAAGGCTTTCTTGACATGATCAGCCTTCTGCCTTCTGCCTCTTCCTTCCTGTTGTTTTCTAAACTTCGCTATTTTTCTACACTGAATTGCTTTTCCATTCCTCACATGTGGTTTGAAATGTCTCTTTTCCACCAGCACTACCAGAGATTGCAGTGGCCCTCTCATAGCCAAGCTAAAAGGGGACCTTTTTCTTCTTACATGTGAAAATCACATCCTCCCCACACAGGTCAGTGTTCTTCTTTCCAGACCTCCTCAAATACTCATTTCCCTTTTCCCTRTCCAATGCTCAGGCTTCAGTGGYTTATCTTCTGTGCTGCCAGTATCCYRGCAGCATCCATGGAATTCTGTCCATCTGCTKAGCTCTATTATGCAATTTTTTACTTCATATCTTACCTGCCAACAACCATCTCTGCAGGTGACACCCCACTCATGTGGCAGCAAAAAGGAGTTTGTTTTCTGGACAATTCACCTGGTAGAGTCTGTTTGCTGAGCTCATTGATATTTTCTGGTAAGGACACACTTACATTAAGAACARGAATCAATGAGTTTATTTCACTCTCTGATTGCCATCACCATACTTAGGTTTGGGGTTTGTAAGTGACTACCTTCATTCCTTATATAACACAGACACAGCAGACTTTCAGCAGAGTTTCAATTTCAGATTCCTGGCTAATTCCTCTCTAATTCTTCTCATGGATAAGAACATGTGGGATATTTCTATTTAACCAGGTGTAACAAGCTGAACATACTCCCACCAATACTTCAGCAAAGTGTCCCTTACTCCTCTCATACCYCCATGATTTTCTTATTTATGACTTCTCAGTGCAGAGGAAGCCAAAGCAAGAGAATGATTTTGTTAGAAAGCAAACCAAGAATTATTAGGAGGGGCTTAAAGGCATGTGGACATAGACTGCAGTCAGCTCCCAAAAACCCACAAGACGTTCCTCCATCAGTAAGGTGGTGCAGCAGAGGCTTCACGTCTGATCTTCCACCAGGAAATGCAGCCAGGGCTTATAAGCACATACAGGAATTTAGACAAATGCAAATTACTTCTGAAACAAAAATAAAGATGCACAAACAGATTTAGAACAGCCTTAGCCCTGGCCAAGTCCCACATTAACCAACTTCCAGCACTCTCCAGATGCCTCAACACAGCCGTGGAGTTGCCAGGCTCTCAGCAAAGAGCAGAGGCTGCCTCAACTCTGATGCTCTGGTGCTTGAGAAATGAGCAATCCCCCCCTTCTTGGCATCCCAAGAAGACACAGCAGCTGCCCASAAAGCAGAAAAGCCTTAAAAATGCATTAACTGCCTGCAGATCTGCATTAGATCACTACTTACAAGCCTAAATCGGTTTTCAAATTAAAGGTGGTTGATCTCATTTTGCCTTGGTTTTCCTCTTATTTTTTTTTTTTTTTTTTTTTTTTTTTTTTTTTTTTTTTTTTTTTTTTTTTTTTTTTTTTTTTTTTTAAGTAGCTTTTCACAAAATAGTCTTCATCTTTCCTAATTGTTGTTTCCCCTCTTTTCCTCTTGTTGGTTAAATCTGGGCTGGGGTTTGATTGCTGTAGGACAGAGGTATGTTAGGAAATTTGATGCAAAGGACAAGAAAACAAAAATCAGAGGTATTTGGTCTGAAAAGAGGCTTTGTCCAATGCATAATTCTTGTGTGTTTAAGGACAGAGTAATAGATTTGGAAGGATAAGTCATATATCTTAGGATTTTCTTCCCTGCCCCCTTTGATTGATTCATTCCAGTCTCTTCAGATCTTTGCCTGTTCCCACAAACCTGGAATCTCAGGATTGTTTGATTAAGTCATGGTTACCATGACAATAAAAGTGCCTCTGGCCAGTTTGACCTTTGACTGGATTCAATTCACTGAGAGAAATGGACAGAGACTATAGAAAAAGCTTCAGCTTCATGTCCACTACTGCATAAAACGGGCTCTCCCGCACTTTCAGAGAGCGAGCTGRCTGCCCTTTTAAAAATATAAATTGGGCTGGAATGCTTTGGAAAGCATTTCTAAGGTTTTGGGAACCAATTTCTTGATGAATATCACTTCAGATAGAAAATGCACACRGCGGTATTGTTGGGGACTTATTTTAAAATAATGTGGCGTTTAACACAACAAAAGCAAAACCAGAAGTCAGACTTYGCATGTGTGATCTGTACCCACAGAATTTAAAAATCACGCCATATCCCCATCCATCAAACATTTTACAGGTATTTTCAAATACCTAGCTCTTTGTAAGTATGTACACATGTACAAAAGCAGATTTCAGACTTAGGGCTCATTTCCTCTGATCGTAGCCCACCACTCTGCTGCAGGCTGCAGACGTTGCGCTGCTGTTGCTCATACAGATAATTATTCCTTTTCAAATACTTCCATTGCAAATCCATTTCAGCAAAAAAAAAAAACAAGGAGGGGAGTGGGGAGAAGAGAGAGATTTCAAAATTAAACCTGTTATGCGATTTGTAAATGGGCCTGACAGGATGACAGGCAGTTCATGAATGTGAGATTGCCAGATCCCCGGTGGGAGAGTGMGCSCTGCCCGTGCTCRTGTGGGGGCTCTGCTCTGCCCTGCRCTGGGCAGCCCCCTCATTTTACTGCTTCCGCTCTGCAAAGGAGACAAATAGATGCTTTGGTCTAGCTCAGAACAGGAGTTAAAGCCAGCTAAAAAACAGGGCTGTTTCTGGAGTCCCGAAAATGCAGTGGCAGGAGAAAGTGGCTCGAGCCATTTGGGAAGAGTGGGCTTCACTGGGCACACCATGGAGAAAACAGCGGGCAGCCCTTCCCTGGGATATCCAGCCAAGGTGAACACTAGCCAACAAAATGGCATGGAGCCAAACCAAGGGGAGTAAAATAAACCCAGGCACTGTAAAAACGAGGGGAAAAGGGTGCCTGGGCTGGGGCAATAGCTGCATTGACCTTACTTGGGTAATAGACAACACTCATTTAAAAGACAGACCYGAGTGGGCAAGCTGGAACTCAGAAWTTTTTTCCCCATTTTAAGTAAATCTTTTTTTTTGCTTGATCTGTTGCTCATTTACTGTCATAAAGTTCTTCCTTCTTCTCACCTAGTTACCTTGAATTCTGAAGCCATGGGAAATGACTGAAGGGGATTATTTGAGCCTTCCCACACAGGCTCTCRGATGCAGAATCCTCCTGTTTCCATGCTGGCCATCAGGACCATATCCTGTCAAGTGGCACAGTTTCAACAAGTTCAGTAGAGAGCTGCTGTTGTTAAAGGATTTCGGTTCTCAGACCAAGAATTGGAAGGGAGATTTGTTTGGGAAGGAATAGAGAGTGGAGGATTTGTTTGTAATTTTTTTCCTTTTTCTTTTTTGGTGAAAGACAACAGGGAAAATGTCAAGAAGTACATACAGAAAATCGACCAATCTGACAAAATCTGCCCCTAATGGAAAAACATTTTTGCCTCCAAGAGAAGTCAAAGTAAAATTTTCAAAGGCACTTACCTGACTTTCAAGGAGCACAAACTCCTAGAGGTCTTCTGACTTTGGAAAAATGTATCTGAATTTTCCAKGGTTCATAAGTGAAACTCTTTGATTTGGATGAGGATGATTTCACCTCTGAAGAAACAGCAGTCACCCACCCCACTGGCTTGTTCACCATGGCTTCCTACAGGATGGGAGAACATTAATAAGCATAGAATATGCCTAATCCATCTTGGCCTTTCCCTCCCCTCATTCTTTTGATGCTGAGTGCTTCCAGTTGTGCCAGTCTGTAAACTCTCAGCAGTATTTTGTATTTTCCCTTCAGCCTCTCTCTCCCTCTCTGTAAGATTTCACCAGCCTATTAGTGTTAGAATGTGAGTGTTTATTAAATCCAGATATCTATTTATCTATTGGTCTATCTTTATGCAATTCATAYACATGCATGTCTGCTGAGGCATGGTCCTGGGTATAATGTTCCATTAGAGTGAAATGTTTACATAAAGGAAACTGAGGAGTTTAGCTATTATAAACCTGGACACTGTCAGTTTACTTACAAGAATGTCACATGCAGCCCATGGCCAACCTGAAATTGAGACCCTATCACATCTCTCCTCTCATATCTGTCCCTTTATGTCTTCACTTGTGGCCCATCACAGAGACAGCATGGATTGGTTCAGATGCAACAAGAATTGTAATATTGGTGAGTAGAACCACCATTGGAAACACACTGTCTGTGCAGGATGGATATCAGAGCACTCCTTTTTTTTCTGAGAGGACAGCTATTCCCCCATCCTCAGAAAATGATCACACAGTCTGTTACTGTCTCTCTCTCAGAAATAACTTTACACACAAAAACTAATATTTCTTTTCCATATTGAATAARAAAACTACATTACAAGCCCCCAGTCCCCATTCATGGAAGGTAAGCTGGGACTTCAGAAAGGTTAAAGAAGCAGCAAGGGCTATTGGATAAACCAGAGGTACCAACCACATGGAAAGCACTATGGAAATACCTGCCTTTTCCTACAAGCTGGATTCTCTGCTCTGGGAATACATTTTATTTTTAGATTCAGTAAACAACAAGATACTAGGTGATCACTACAGATAGGCATTGCTCTGTTTAAAACTCTGCCACAGTAACTCCTGGCACAATCACAAGCTGGTGTGATTTTAAACACAAGCACCTGGCTGTGCCCAGCCTTCAGCTGACAGAGGGAAATGCAGCTTTTTCCCGTTTCTCGTGCTGCCGGAGCTGCTGATCGCACGGTGGCTCCCGCTCCCGGCAGCGATGCTCCYGCCTGCCCATTCCCAGCCCGGCTCCCTCCTCACCCCCCGAAAGGCAGCAGAGCTCTAATGACCTCCCATGCACTTACATCTAACAGATACGTTTTTGAAAACAGAATCAGACCTCACACATCTACGACCACTTTAAAAGGCTTCTCACCGCACCTTCTGCTCTCTGTTCTCTACACTCAAGTGGAAGAATGGCACAAACTCCCCCCTCTCCCCACCCTTTTCACCCAGTTCCTCCCGACAGCAAGAAAATCTTACAAGAGCCAAAGGAAAGCTAAAGAAACAACTCYGGGTCCTGTCTGCTCAGGGAACAATTTCCACATCTGGCTTTTGCTGCTGCTTTTACTATCACTTCTGTCCCTCTGTGTCCTCTCCTTTCCATGGATCCACATTGATTTTTTTGTTGAGTCAAGCCAGTCATTAAGAGAATCTTTCCATCACCACTTCCCAAAGACTGTCCTTCTTTCCATCTGATGCTCACCCACTCATGAAAAAGGGAAACAAAAAATAGAAAACCCAGAGTCTTGGTTTGCCTCTTCTTTATTACTCTGTTACTCCCACCCATCAGTTTTATGGACTATCATTTATTGACTRCTCTGGACTGAGTGATGTGAGGACAAATTTGCAGGGGTGCATCAGACACACCCTGTGTCACAAAAGGTGCATGATCAGAGACTGGAGACAAACTTGTGCATTGCTGATGCCTTATTGGGACTTATTCACAATTGCATTGGTTAATGGGAATAGTAAAAAATAGTGCAAAAGCATAACTGGCTCTTTCTCCACATTAAAATAAACAAAAGTTGTGTGGTAATGAGTCGTGATATCCCACCTTAGCTGGTACCCTCTCTGTGGCAGAGAACTGAGATGATGTGCTACACTTCCGGACACTTAAAGCAAAGCCAAAAGGTCTACTCAGTCCTTAGATAAGTCAGTAATAAAGAAGGGAAACTGGTTGGGAGATTTTAATCATTGATTCAGAAAAGCCACAACCTGAYAAAAATCACTGCTTGGATATAAATCCAATCTCTGAATTCTTAATAGATAACAGTTTGCTAGGGCAGYGCTCAGGTTGAGATGTTTTACACCAGATCAGGTGTCACCCTTCTGTGCCTTTTCCCTGGTGCTGTGCCAGGTGAGCAGCAAAGCCTCTGCCAGCAGCTCTGGGGAATTCAGTGGGACCACAACCGTGTGGCCATGCCCACAGTCTGGCAGGGGCTGATGACGCCTGAGTTATTGTCCTTCACTTACTCTAATTGTGACTTCTTCAAATAAATAATTCAATAAGTTATTTTGTGAAAGTAGTCCAAAAAGACACTACAATCCATTTACACTCAATGAGGGAAATACAGCACACCTTCCTCCACAAGCTCCTCTGCTTTRTTACAATCCCTTCCTTCCCAGCTGTCCCAGGCTCTCTCAGTCYAGCACATCCTGAATCCAAATGGGTTCTTGGGCAATGGTTTCCCTTCCCCAGATGAAGACCTGAGGTATTGGCTGCTTCCTACAAACCTCATCTCTTCCACTAATTATCCCCCTCACTTTYGCAGTCCCATTGCCTGCCCGTTACTCCTTTTTAGTCATCTCTTCCCTAATACCTCTTTGATGACTACAAGAGAAGCAGAGGAGATGATTCATACAAACTAAATTGGGGGCTGAACTGTGYTCAGTTCTGCATTTTCTCCTGAAACAGAGCAGGGGAAGCAGCCAGCAGAGCCTCCTCAACCAGTTCATTCCCTCACTGCCACCCCAACATTACCTCCATTTTTCTGGAAGCCATAAGAGCCACTGTTAAGAAGCTGGTGATTTTTCTGTCGTTCTGACACCAAGGAAAGTCTCTGCCTTGGCTGCATGCAAGGTGGCAAATTTAATTCTCTTCTCTTAACTGCTTCTTCACTAAATCTATGCTGCCTGCTAATCTCYTGCATCCCTGTAGAAAAGTCACGACTGAAGACTCAAGTTGTCAAAACATCACTTGTCTTTTCCACCAACGCTGGTGGAAGCATGGCTGTGCTCAGCCGGAGCGGAGTTGAGTGAACTTTGAGAAGGTCCCTGTTTCCAATTTAGCACAGCTCCCAGGAGGTATTACATTTCCTGGTGCAGAGCAGAAAACGCTTTGAGATCCTCAAGCACAAAGCCTTGTTGTTTTATTCATTTGTACTGCTGAGCAAATTCTCTTTTCAAGGCTTCCAGTGGGGAAATTTCCTCCAGTTTCTCCTAGCAGAGTCCAGATTAAAGCTACCTTTACCCTTTTAAGGTCTAGAAAGCACGATTCCTTCAAAGACAGGCTTTATTTCCTGTACTCCTGGAAAATCTTTTTAATTGCAAGAAAGACTCTCTTCCTAATTATAAAAGCATTTGAGCTCATCCTCTATTCTGTTGTGTTGGCAAAGCCTCTGGAAGAGTTCTCCAACCTGAAACTTCCAAGGAATCTATTAGGAAACCCATCACAGCTTCCAGATAACATGCTGCCAGCTTTATTAAAAGAGCAATGCTGGAGCAGGCTCACACTCGCATTGCAGTCATTCTTGGCACTCCTGCAGCCTCCTCCATCCAAGAATTCTGCACCGCTCATTCCACTGGCTGCCTCTTCCTCCCCTCCCCACAAGGAACGTACCGAGCACCTTCCAGGATCACCTGGAGCATGGGATTTTTACAGCACCTCACCAATTGTGTTTTTACAAAGATTCTCTGATGTGCTGCCCGCTCCTCCCTGGGGAGCTGAGCAGAGCAGCAGCAGCAGAGGGCTTTGTGAGCTCTCACAATCCTGGGACAGCCCCTCTGATGTCCCACATGTTTAACACAGCTCTGTCCCCACCACTGCGCTACTGTTAACCATCCACATCCCAAGGTTTTTCTCGAATTTTCCCCAGATTACAACCAGGGCCAGTTTGCTGCTGCTTCAAAACAATGTTTCACTGATTACAACCTAGGCTGACAATTATAGTGATTTAAACCCCAACTAATTGTGAGGTACTTTGATCATGCCTTGCACAACTTGTGGTTTGTAGGCTGCAAATACTTGAAAGGAACTCTTGGGTTCACAATTTCCTTGAATATAAATTTTATTTTGATATATAAGGTATGATTCAAATATTAAAATTAAGCCTGTATTTCCCCTCATCCCATTTCTTCTTTGGATATTATTGCTGTTTTAATTTTCTCTCCCTGAGCTTARTAYTTACCATGCAATTTGTTTAAGCTTAAGCCTATTTGCTTTGTTCATTTGTATTATTAAGAACAATTTTAGAAAGGTGTTGTGGTTTTGTTTTGGGTYTTTTGTTTTGGTGTTTTTTTAGCTGTGATTTTTTTTTTTGTATTGTTGCTCAGAAAACACGGGTTAGCAGCACAAATGGAAGCATAGAGCCAGCAGCACTCTAACTTCAGACAGGGTTACTGAGAGGATCTCTGCTGGCTTTGCAAAGTCCCAGCAGCAGTTTGCACTGCACCAATTCAGCCCATGMAATTTTTGTTAATATAGTATGGGCAGTAAATCCTTCTATTTCTCTTTCTTTGCATTTTTAAGAGTTTAGGACACTTGCAAGCGACAAGCTGCATCCATTGGTTGCAGCCAAAGCTCCTGGAAATGTTTCCTGCCAGGCACTGCTCATGGATCAGCRCTGCAGGTCACATTTTCCTGCAGCATTCCTCGAGTGCAGCTACAAAGTGGTGCAGATGCTGATCCTCTTTAGGGAAATTTCACRTTTCCCTCCATTCTATTCTGCTGCCTCTGCCCATTGCTGTCACAACCCCCCATCCTGGGCAGCCCTGGACCTTTCCCATCTCCAGGCTGGCAATGTGGCTGCAGGTACGAGTGGCTGGTTCAAAGGGAGGTGCACATGTTGGCCCCATCCCCGAACTGGCGCCTCTCTGCCTGGGAAACCTGAGAGT